CAAGTGGCAAAACACACTACACAGAAACACTATTCTAACCTACTTTGGTGAGTAGAGAACAGGGTCTTAAAAGCTTGTGAGCATTCATCTAGATTCAATAGTAGTTCTCTCCTCGTCCAGAGCAAAGAAGAAGATGAAAACCCAAGACGTAAGGAAACAATTACTCCAAGATACTAGCAGCCATGTGATCCTCAGCCTATATGTCCAAGAGACCAGAAGAACTAGATGGTGTCCAACTACCACTGTCAACCACTTGGAGGTGAACTGGTGCAGAAGATCCTGGATAGAGTGGGAAAATAACGTAGAATAAAACATAAAATCCTAACAAAAAGACCAGGTTTGCTACTCTGATAGAACCTGATGAGACTATGGCCCCTAGCTACCCTTCAGGTGTGGAAATGCATGTACTTCTGTGGATTCCAGACAAAAAACAGGCATATGAGGTGAACATTCACATCAGGTAAATACACTCCTTGGAGCAATCAAACATGGGGAAAAGGAAGGGCAATGTTTTCACAGGGAGACAGGTGGGGTGCTGGTGGGAGGGCGCAGGAATGCATAGGAAAGAAGAACAAAGGAAAGAGATTAACTGAAGGAGGGAATTGGAGGAGACCTGTTTGCCATTGTGGGGAATTTCAGTCAATGTCATGAAACAAAATGTGTATGAAGTGTTGTACGGGAAATGCATTTGCTCTGTAAACCTTCACTCAAATCACAATAAAAAGTTAAAAAAAAAACTTATAATGGTCACTTCCAAACTCTATTTGTTTCACAGGAGCTGCGTAACACCTGTCAGAGGCTATGCACTGGCCTCACCAAGCCCAGAGTGGTCTGTACAGTTCTAAACATCCTGCCACCATTGCCTCCACCAGTCAGCCTCACACAGACACCCCCACCCACACTGTGCTTCTCTGCACCCATAACCCCCAACTTTCATCAAAGGAAGGAGGAGACTGGGCTCTCTGCTGCCTCTGGGATAAACACACTCAGTTTTCCCAACAGAAATCCTCTTTCAAGTCTTGACGACACCATATGCTATAAGCACCCAGGAAAATGAAACAAATTTTTTGATTGCTCATTTAAACGTTTTGAACAAATTTCATCAAACAAGCTTCCCATTTTGGCCTCATTCCTAACGTTCACTGTTCGGACACTGGGAATATGCACAGTTTGTGCTCCAAGAAGCCTTCAATTAGTACGAAGCGTAGTTCTTTGGTGGCAAAGACATGGTTCACCACCCCATGTCCACTCCAGCACAGACACACATACTGGGGGTCTCAGGCCCATACACTTCTCCTTGCCTAGAATAAGATCATTCGGCACATGACCTTGAGGAAAATGTCTGCCTTACACCCAAAGAAATGCCTCGAAATGTGCCTGCGACTGAATGTTTTCCTCCCAACATTGGATTAAAAAGCCTCTTTAATGCATACTAGCTCTGACACCTGATTCTTAATTCTTCATCTGCCTGAAACACTGTAATAGGGGAAAAGAGACCCAGATTCAAACAGGGTCAAAAAACACCCTTTTATTAATCCTTGGACAGGACAAAGACAGTCTTCCAATAGGGAGACCAGCAGCACATACTCAGTACAAAAAGCTGAATGGTGTCCACTGAATCACGGCCTTCGGATTAATTATACATGATTGAAAAGAAAGGGAATCTCAAGTCAAGATTCTAAACACAGTCACCAGGGACATCTGAGTCTACACATCCACTGTGTCTCAGCTACTGTTTCTATGATGTCTACAATACTGAACACATTAGCATTCTGTCAGGACTTGTTCAATGTAACAGGAGTCTACGAGAACCTTCTGCAGATTTAAGTCAGCTGTAGAGTAGTCATGACATCCATTAACACAGGTATTCCTCTGTGCTTATAAAGTTTCTATCCATCAAATTGAAAAATTCTCAGTACAAACACACCACATCATCTAGAAAACGCCTTCCAGTGGAAACTGGAAACCCAAGAAGTTCAATCCACACAACTCATAGGTTGAGCTTCTCTAGCAAAAGAGAACTTTTCATTTTAGATTCTGATTCAAGACCATGGAGAACAATCAAAACTGACAAGGATGAAATACTACCTCAAGGCATAGTTGGGAGGCTAAGGACCCAGACTGGGAATTCATGCTTTATAAACAGCTGAAAGGCTCACATGAAGTATTTCTTACCAGGCTGAATGAAAATGGATGTGAAGACCCCATAGAGGACCCATTTGGAATCCCTGTGCCCAACTTCATACTTTTGGTGACATCAGGAGAGCACCAACAGCAGCCGGGACTCTATAAACACTCACAGCCTTTCCCTATACACTCCTTCCTCCTTTTCTAGCCTATAACACAGCGTGAGAGACCAAGCTATCATCATACAACTGCATAGAAAATGCTCCCATGTGCAGGGCGAGTCAAGAAAACTGGCAAGAGACATGGGGCAAGGATGGGTCTGGAGGGTTGAGACTCAGTCTCCACAGCCAGAACTGTTCGGTCGTCAAGCTCTGATCAGCAGATGCTGTCATTCACACAGAGCACCAAGGCCCCATGGCTCCAAAATCACATTAGGATGTTGACCCCAGGCATCCAAATCCTGAAAAACTACAGATGTATAGAAAAAGGATGAGTGAAAATGAAGCAGGGTTTCAGGAAACCTGAAAAGGCTCGGTCCTGGGTCCTCCTCTGCCACCCTTTTCTTCACTTAGCAACCAGTCATGCTTCATACAGCTAGTCCTCTAATAACTCATGTGTAGCCTCACATACTTAGGGTAACAAAAACCCACTGCTCCATCAAATTCACCATTTTCTGGCTCCACCTTCTGCAGGTCTAAGGGAATATCGTCTCTAAGTCCCAGAAGCCACTTCACGAAGAGGGACAGCAATGGAGGCAGAGCACTGGGCAACTTGGAGGCAGATGAATAATGTTTGGTCCACACACCAGTCAGAGCAGTTGAAATCCTTCCTTGGGATTTACGCATGTGCACAATGGTCAACCTAGGTCCCCAGGTACCTGGACTGTCCTGGTTCTCCTGGCCCCACACTGGAGACCTAAAGTAGAAGGAGAATGGGGAGGAGACAGTGGTGAGTAAGCAGGAGTGACAGGTGTTTCCCTTCCTCCACGAATCAGGGCCATGACCTCCCCTGCGGACATCCTCACTGAAGGCAGGACGGGCTCCAGCCTCGGGAGCACACACCTGCATACTTCCTACAGCTCTGCAGGAGCCTTCTGGCAACAAACAGATGGAAGAATTCACTTATTTCAGAGGCCAAGAAGAAACAGATTTGGTTGTGTAATATGGCTAACGCTAACAAAAATTGGAATGATCTCATTCTTGAAACTAATGGTATTTAAACAAAGAAATGAGTAGGAATATCTGAGGGCTCAGGAGAGGCAGTCTTTCAGGAGGTGACATTTGAAGTGAGACCTGAATTACAGGCATTACTGACCTCCTATGGTTAAAAAGTTTTCCTCTCACCAGAAGAAATACTTAGTGCAAAGCCTACAAAGGTAGTAAAGTTTTGCTATATTTGAAAGTATTTTAAAAATGTGTGACTCAGATACCTATATAAAAATCAGAACATATACGATCTTGTTGGCCAGCCTACAATAGGTGGAGTTTATTCTATGTATCACTGTCATCTAACTGTTTTACATTGTTGAAATTTTCCTCCTGCTGCTGGGTGGAGATCACACCTTCTTGTGATTACAGAAAAAGGAGAAGGAAGCTCAGAGTCTGCTTTCCTAAGGGAGAGCTGTCTGAGGAACTTCATTGCTTTCCCCAAATCTCTTGAATGGAGCCTGATGCCACTTACTGGATGGAAATACCAGGTGAGAAACAGGTTTGTTCAGGTGGGATTTTAAAAGCTGTCTAGGAAATATCAAGTTTCAGAGCCACACAGTCCTTAGTGCTACAGATGGATGATGGGAAAGGTTTGGTGTCTGAGTCACTTGGTACCCAGAGCTCACAGCTCAACCTGCAGGTTCTCTCTTTCTGTTCAGAAAGAATCACACGGGACCTCCATTCCTGCTTCTGAATCTTCAAGCTAAAGGACAGGAAGAGCAGAGATCTGGCCTGAATTAGGCCCTTAGGGAACGTAAGTGGCTATAGCAGTCTTAGCTGAGGGGCAATGCAGAGAGTCAAAACTAGTCAAATTAAGTAGTTTTTAATGAAGGTTTGAATTTCACTTGAAGCAACTATGTGACCAGTTATGTCTCCAAGGATGACCAAAGTCCAGAAAGGGAGTACTTATAGAGTATCAATCTTGAAAGAAGAAAGAGGAAAATAAAAGGCACTGCATTTTCCACCGATGTTGAAATTACAAACGACGTCTAGAGAGTTTACCTATGATATCAAAAGCAGGAGAAAGAAAAGACAAAATAGAGAAATTAAAAATGTCGGGTATCAAAGGACTTGGTCATCTAAGTGAAGGGGCTGTGTTTTAGTAGTAAAAAAATAATGTAAAATCTGAGAAAGCTGGGCAAAAAGCATAAGGAAATATTTCAACGAAGATGCTACAGAAATGGTCCATAAACTTGTGGGAAGATGCTTCGCACTCTAGTCACGAGGGAAATGCAACAACAACCAAAAAAAAAAAAAATAGCCACGAGACACCCCCCGACCCCCACAATGAAAACCACTGTCACAAAACCGAGAACCTACTTTCGGGAGCGTGTGGAGAAACTGCAGGTGGGAGTGGATAATGGTACAAACCCGTGTGGAAACGTGGGGCATTCTTCCAAACACTAAAATTCCAATGGCCATGAAGAGGAGCAATAGATGAGGCCGAAGAGTCCTGCTAAGGCTTGACTGTAAAAAGGGAAGAAAACACGGAGAGATGGGGACCCGGAAAGCGGACCGGAGGGTGGAAGCCGGGCGTTTAAACTTCGGCTAAAAACCATAGGTAGCCACGCTACCCTGATTCTGCATTTATCACAATTACCCAGGGGACGCAGACGCAGCGGAGCTGACAGCCTCGCGTTTGAGCGACGGGTCTCGCGATGTTACCTGTTCCCGCGCCGAGAGACCAGATTTGGCCCCGCTACTAGGCGTCCAGGAAGCTGCTGCGGCCAATGGGCGGATGCGCGAGAAGCCGTGGTGGTGCCGCCCAGGGGACAGGAGGTTCCGAGGCTCCGGGAGATGGAGAGACCGACAGTGCGCGGGAGACCGGGGACACCGCTTCCGACCCGGAGCCTGCGGGTAAACCGCCAGGGTAGGAGGCCAACGGGCGACTGAGGATAAAGCTACTAACTGCTGGAGCAGAAGCTGGAACCACGCGACTGCCGACCAAACCTAATATGCACACTTCCGCTTCCCGTTTCAGGGAGCTCAGTGCTCAGGGGAATAGTTCCGTGCGGAAACCCTAAGGGCAATAATCGGTGACCGTGGGATTCTGTGGCTCCCAGTTGTGTGTGCCTCTTATTACTTGTCTAGAAGTTAAAAGGCTGCCCTTATTACTTCTCTAGAGGAGCCTAGAGTTCCTTCAGTCCGTTTGTTAACTGAAACAGTTAAGTGATCAAAGATACCCTGGACGAGCAAAGATATTTATTCAAATATTTGGTCGTTAGAAAAAAGTTTACCATATTCTTCAAAGCAATCTTTGCTCCTCACGAATATATCCTTACTTAACAATTGTTGAAGTCTCCTGTCTGACTTCTCTTTTCTGGATTGTCAAGTTTTCATAGAATATGCAAACCCAGTGTGATCTCTCAACGTTCAGTGCCCCCAGGAGAGGGGCTGTCCAGGATGAATTGCAGGAAGACACCATTCATTCTGAGGGCCAGAGGGTAGATTGTTAAATACTTTGGAAAGTAACTGTTGTATATACATTTTTCCTTTTGTGCACACACATATATGTATATACTAAAGGACATAAAGTGTTCTAATATTAAGTGTACAAAGCAATGGTCTTTGACATCTGGATAAAACCAAAAACCAAACTCACTGCCTTCGAGCCTATTCTGACTCTTAGTAACCCCGTTTTGGTTTCTGAGTCCATTAATATTTACCAAAGGAGATTACTCACTCTTCAGTCCATTGAGTGGCTAGTGGGTTTGAACTGCCAACCTTCTGGTTAGCAGTCTAATGCCTTAGGTACCATGCCACCATCTGGATAGACTCATAAAGGAGCTCTGTTGGGGCTGTGGTTATGGAATTGGGCTGATGATCAAAAGATCACTAATTCAAATCCACTATAAAATTTTTCATTGGGAATTGGCTCAGATGCTTTGTGTGAGAGCCAGATGATGACCATGTGGCCGTATGTACTTTTGGCCACTATCCTAACAAGTTTTCCTAATTTTAAAGAAATGGATACTATAAACACTTTGTGTGTGCATCTTTCGCTATGAACTTATTTTTGACCCATTTTGGTTAATACTCAGTTGTGGTATTGATGGATCAGAATGGATGGCCTACATTTAGATTTTAAGAAACTTGAAGTCTTCCAAAGCGGTATTCGCATGGAAGACTATTTTACACTCCAGTTTGGCAAAGATCACAGTTTTTTTTTTTTTAACACCGTGTTATAGATTGTGTGGGAAAAACCTGCACTCTTATGAATTACTTGCAAAGTTTAAACTGACACAATTCCTACAGAGGGCAATATAGTAGTGTAAATCAAAATTTGAAGTTTATATTTTAAAACACATCAGTTGTACTAACAAAATATCACTACTATGAATTTATCCTATAGGTATTACTCACATATATGCATGAAGGGCAAGAATGTGGCTTGTAGCATTGGCTATAGAAACTAAAGGAGTAGTCCTCACTAGAGGAGTGGAGAATGTATTATGGTCCGTCCATGCAATTTTTACCATTAGCTATTTGTTTTCCACAGGTAGATAGCTTTAACAAACAGGAGTTTATTTTCTTACACTTTTGGAGAAGAAGTCTGTGTACAAAGTGGCAGTCTAGGAGTTGGGTGAAAGGCCCTCGACCTTGGACTTCAGCTATGCCTCTGACTCCTGGCCCAGTGGAAGTACAGATGTCTCTTCACTTAGGCAGCTTATGGCTGCTGAGGCTGACAAGAACAAGATTGACTAATAAAATGGCACATTCCCAATAGTACCAAAGAACGTGGCAGGTCATTAGTTCTTGTCCAAAGATGGTCCCAAGATTGGCAGGAATCATTGCAGGCTGCTGAATGAAGACTGGAGTCCATGGAGGGTCCAAGTGTGCCAAAAAGCTCAGCGACCATTCTCAAAACTTCTCTTATATACTGAAAGCAGACCACATCCCTAAAGCAACCCAACAGCTCCCATAGATTCCATCATGTAGTTGATGACCAGTCTCATCACAGGGAATAACGACATCCAGCTGCCCAGTCACTCAAAACCAGGCCCAGCCAAGGTGACGCACAGCCTTAACTATAACACTGTTACAGAGGTAGAGCCGAATCCCTATGTGTGGGGTGCAAAACATCTACTATTTGTGCAGAAAGTCATTTTTCTTCTCATAGATATCTTCTGGATATACAAGGAAAAGATGACAAGAATTCGCCGGGGTGGACAGGCTGAACAATTAGGTATATCTATGAAATGGGGAGTGTATCCAAGAACATATATAGGGTTGGCAGACAATGGTCCTATAAGTTTATGTGAATGATCAGAATTCCCAGGTGTATAGTAGAGCTGACAAGGGGCAAGATTGTGGTCACTGCTTGGTCACAGCCAGCTACCCAGAGGGACTGAGTAGCTGAACCTGCGGACTTGGGACCATAGTCGCAGGGGACATCAAGCTCAATTGGCATGACATACTATACAAAACATTGTTCTACCTCCTACTCTGGCGAGTAGCAACTGGGATCTTAAAAGCTAGCAAGCTGCCATCTAGATGCAACGATGGGTCTCTCCTCCTCCAGAGGAAAGAAGAATGAAGAAAACCAAAATTCATGGACACAATTAGTCCTAGAGACTGGTACACCCTCTGATCTGCAGCCTATATGACTATGAGACCAGAAGAACTACATGGTGCCCTGCTACCACTGTCATCCACTTGGAAGGGGATCTATGTAGGAGATCCTTGATAGAGAGGGAGAACAATGTGGAACAAAACTCAAAATCATTTGGAGGAAAAAAAAAAAAAAAGGTGGGGACCAGGTTTGCTGGTCCGATGAAGCCTGGTGGATCCACTGAGACTATGGCCCCTAGCTGCCCTTCAGGTCTGGAATTGAACCCACACCTATGGTTTCCAGCCAAACAAAATACAGGCATATGAGTTGAACATTCACCTCAAGTAGATACTCTCCTTGGAGAGAACAATCATGGGAGAAAGAAGGGCTGCTTATGCACAGGGAAACAGCTCAGGGGGCAGGAGTGCATGGAGGGAATGGACACAGGGAAGAGGTAACTATGGGGACGAAGTGAGAGAAGAGCTGTTACATTGTGGTAAACTGTGGTCAATTTCATGAAAGAAAGTATATGTGAACTGCTATATGGAAAGTGAATTTGCTCTGTAAATCTCCAACCAATTCACAATTAAAATAATAATAATAATAAAAAATTCCCCTGGGGAGGATGAATGAGGTGAAGAGGGAAATAAGAATTTTCATTGTAGGTTCTTTATTATGCAAATATGTGATTATTTGTCCTTGAACAACCACAATATATTCTGTGAGACAGGATGTTGTGTGTTTTGGATGTTGTGCAAACACCACATCATAACTGTATAGAATTCACCTCATGGAGCTCTGGTGGTGGAATGGTTAAAACATCTGGCTTTTAATCAAAAGGTATGTGGTTTGAACCTAGCAGCAGCGCCACAGTAGAAATATGACTTGGATGGTTTCTGTAAAGATCCACACCCACGGAAACCCTATGAAGCAGCGCTACACTGTCCTAAACAGGCACTAGGAGTTGGAATCAGCTGGATTGCAGTGGGATTTCTTCATTTAGAGCTCACCTCATGGTATGTCTGCTGGAAGCAAGCTCTGGTCCATGTGAAGAACACATCCTTCACATTGGCGGTGTTGTCACAGATCACTGTCATCCTGAGTCAGATGTGCCTGAAAGGCAACATCAAGAATCTCATATTTGGGTGGCCTAGTTACCAGGAATTCTTAAATAAGGTGATAGTGAACTTAGCTATCAAGTCCAACAACTGAGGACAATGTTCAGAGAGTGCGGTGCCCCAGAAGATGGCAGCCAGCAGACTTCAGACTTTGCATAGCCTCATCCCAGGTGATAAGTACTGAATGTACCTGGGTGGGAACCATGCAGAGGTTCAATTAAAACCACTTTCTTGAACCCTGTTGTCATAATCCTACTTCCAGGCACAGTTGTAATAATTATGAAGTAGTGCTTCCTTTCTTTTGCTGTGCTAAATATTTCCCAAGATGAAACAAAACTATTCAAATAAACACGTGAAATGAAAGGAAAAGGAAAGAAAAAAAAGCCAGCATGGGCATATATTTCATGGGATGGTGACTGTATGGACATTATGCAGTGCATTAATGTTTACTTCTTCTCATGAGTATGTATTTCATATTCTAAATATAAAAGACAGTAAGAGTGGTAAATTACACGAAAGAACAAATTCTGAAAAAATGAATTCGCAGTTCAGTTCACCACAATGAAAGTACACACACACACATATATGGGAGCTCTGGTAGCATAGTGCCTAAGGTACTTGACTGCTAACCAGAAGGCTGGCGGTTCAAACCCACTAGCCATTCCTCAGAAGGAAGATGGGGCAATCTACTTCCGTAGTGATACTGCCTCGGAAACCAAAGGAGGGGTCACTATGAGTCGGGTCCGACTCGACGGTACATAACAACAACAACAACAACAAGCGGAAGCCGAGCAGCTGGGCGGTACTGAGTCTTTCGGTGTGGCAACCGATAATATCGCAGAACCCCTCTCTTTTCCATGAACAGGCTTCTATTAAAGAGCAGTTTGTGAACTCAAGGCCAAGCCTGTTCTTAACTTAGAGAGCGAATTCTCCACCACACTTTCCTAGCGGAAATGGCTCATCTCTGTTTCTGGTGCTTCTTCAGACAGCACTTGTGTTGAGTATTGCTTGTCATTCACAAATGGAGATTCAAACCAAACCAAAAGCAAACTCACTGCTATGAAGTCGATCCAGACACATAGCACCCCCTGCTTGGATTTCTGAGGCAGTATCTCTATGGAAGTAGATGGCACAGTCTTCCTTCTGAGGAGTGGCTGGTGGCTTTGAACCACCAGCCTTCTGGTTAGCAGTCAAGTGCCTTAGGCACTACACTACCAAACATCCCATCGGAGACTACAGTGAGGAATTAATCCCTTCCTTTAGCCGTCGTATAAGTTTAAGTGGGGTGAAAATTAAGAAGCAGGTGGTGATACTACTATGTACTCTCTGACGATGCTATTTCTCCAAATTTCAGCAGGAAGACATTTAGCAGCAGGTATGTTCTGAGGCATTTCTTTGACTATAAGGCAGACTGTTTCATAAGGATAGTGTGAGCCAGCCCAAGTTAGTTGGGACTTGGACATGGGTGGTGGATCAGGATTATAATGCAGGGATAGAATTAATACGTAGATACAAGAAAGGGAATCCTCACACTGAGAGCAAGTAATGGAAGAACAGGTTCAGTGGGGAGGGGAATTTCTTAGGAAAGAAAGGGAAACAGCCATGGGAGTGGGATCCATAGAGAAAACATATGAATGATCCAATTTATATGTTGGTTGATTTATTATAAATTTCAAAGGGAAAATGTTCAGGAAACATCCGAATTTTCTCAAAATGTTAAGAACCAGTGGAGTTGTACTTTGAGAAAGAAGGAAAAGTAGAAAAAAAAAAATTACACAGGCAAGAAACAAGTGTTAGCTGCAAAAGTAAAGAAGAAATACCAGTTTAATTACAATGCTATAAATGAAAGGATTTTTTTTTTTAAAGGTACAATGCAGAGACAGTAACGGTAAGATGCAAGAATAGGCACAAAGTCAATACAGACCCTCTTCAAAAAAGAAATGAAAAACCACAATTGACAGAGATACAAAAGATAATCCTGGAGCCTTGAGCTTTGAAAGAACTATACAGAAGTGGATTAGGCACCAACTAGTGGAAAAACCTGAACAAAAACACTGAGGACAGAGACAGTCAGAGCTGTGGGCTGTCAGCTACTTTGATGGGACCAACAGCCTAAATATTTCTAAGTGGTGTTGGGAACCTGACAATTGACCTAAAGATCAGCCCTGTTCACCAAGGGCTGCAGGGATGACTGTACTGGTGGCCTGTGACTAGGAAGGGAAACAGCAAGGAAGAACACAACCTGAGTTGTTGACTTTCCGCTGTTCAGACTGCACAGCCATTTCCAATGTTTACAAATGGCAGCCATTTTGGATATTTAAAGTGACTGAGGATACACCCATTTTGAAGGTTTACAAACGGTGGCTATTTTGGATATTTAAAGTGACGAAGGGTACAGCCAGTTTGAATCTTTAAAACTGGTGGCCATTTTAGAATTTTAAGTGACTGAATTCTCATATTGAATCCAGAGACCTAAGAATAGCCTCTGTTTGTCAAGGTCAGCAGGGAAATAGGAGGGGCTGGCAATAGGAAAGGAGACAGATGGTGAGTGTATAAGTGCTGTCAACTAGTGAATAGAGGAGCCCAGGACAGTACCCTGCTTACGCAGATTAACACACAAAGGAAACGAAAATCATGAGCAAGATGCTCCATGAAAAATTTCCAAACAAAGAATTATGTACTCAGCAAAATTGTCCCTCAAATATGAGAGTGAAATTAGGACATTTTCAGATAAGCAGAAATTAAGGGAATTTGTTAAAACCAGACCAACCTTGCAATCTAGTTCCATAGTGATGCTACCTCAGAAACCTGAGAAAGGGTCGCTATGAGTCAGTCTGATTCTACCACACGTAGCAACATCAATCTGATATTTTATTATAGTTTTACAGAATAAAAAGTGCATTTTCCAAAATTAATGGAAACAATCAGTCCTAGCAACTGGTACACCATCCGATCTGCAGCCTATACAACTATGAGACCAGAGGAACTAGATGGTGCCTGGCTACCACTGTCATCCACTTGGAAGGGGATCTATGTAGTAGATCCTTGATAGAGAGGGAGAACAATGTGGAAAAAAAACTCAAAATCATTTGGAGAGGAAAAAGGTGGGGACCAGGTTTGCTGGTCAGATAGAGCCTGGTGGAACCACTGAGACTATGGCCCGAGCTGCCCTTCAGGTCTGGAATTGAACTCACACCTGTGGTTTCCAGCCAACCAAAAGACAGGCATATGAGTTGAACATTTACCTCAAGTAGATACACTCCTAGGATTCAAACTGCCAATGATTACAAACGAAAGAAAGAAAGAAAACCAGATCAACCTTACAAGAGACGCTAAAGGGAATCCTTTGAATACAGAAGCAACAATAGCCAAAAACAACTGACGATTAACACACATGATGATATAACCCAGAAACCAACCCAGCTATGGAAGTATCCAAAGGAAATGAGCCTATAAGATTGTAAACAAGGAACCAGAGACATCAATTGACAGATGAAGACAACTCCAAAACAAAGAGGGAAAAAACTGTGTCATTACAGAATTTCTAGATACAACGGACTATCCTAAACTTGGGAACAAAACTATAAGTCACAAGGTAACCTCAAAGAAAAATGACAAACTTCCCATCAAAATAAAAAAGTGGACCAGCATAAAATTCACCAAATAATAAAACAACAGCAATGAAGGAAGTGATAACACAATTCATAAACAAAATGAGCTCAGCATAGAAAAGTATATGGAACAAAGAAATCAACACCACGAAAAAACACATAACAAAAATGAGAGCAACAAATACAAATTGGCCGATAATCATATACCTGGCAAGGGAATCATCTCCAAGATTTATAGCACACAGAAGATGACCAAACTGTGGTAGATATACATAACAGAATGCTATGCAGCACTAAAGAATAATGTAGACTCTGCCAAATACTGCATAATATGGATGAACATGAAGGACATTATGCTGAATGAAATGTCAATCACAGAAGGACAAATATAGTATTAGTTCGTTGTTGTGGAGGTTCAAGGAAAGATTTACATATGCAGGGAAACCTTTGTTGGTTGCCATCAGTGGGATGGGAGAGGAGGGAATACTGAAAAAAAAAAAAATGCATTGACCCATGTCACTCCAGTTTTGTGTATTTCACTATATATGAATTATATAACAATAAAATGCATTAAAAAAAAGAATGATAATTTTATGGAAGGTTTGAGGAGTGAGACAGAAAAATCTGGCCAACATTCTGTTGACAGGTGAAAATTTGGAGGACAGCATCACTTTAAAAAAATAATAAAGACATCAAAAGACGTATTGCATTGGGCAAATCTGTTGCACAAGACCTCTTTCAAGTGTTGAAGAGCAAAGATATCTTCTAGAATAATACTAACATGCGCCTAACCCAAGTTATGGGATTCTCAATGGTGAGTGTATTGATTCAACTGTATCTGAAATAACATAATTAAAAGTATGAAAATACAACATTTTAGAAAAGTTACACCCAGTAACTTTATTTGTAATAGACAAAGACTTATGAAAAAGCTAAAGGTTGGATTGAAAAAGGAAGAAATACTAATAAGGATGGTCCCATAGTTAGAGTAAAACAATCATTTATCGAAAAACCACAAAGTAGTTCTAATCATCCAGTCTTTGAGTTGGTATTATTTTCTTACTCACTGAAAACCTTGTTTCTTTAAGGGCAGATTTACAGCAATTTCCTGTTTCAAATTATAACAGGATGGTGAAAACATCCCAATCCTGACACACAAGTCTCTCCAATATAAGTTCTTAATTGAGAAGTGACATGTAAGGAACAACTAGGGGCTTTCCCACATTCTTACAATTCATAAGGCCTCTATCCACTGTGACTTGTCTATAGTGAGGGGTGAGGAATCACTGAAGGCTTTCCCACATTGCTTACATTCAAAGAGCCTCTATCCCCCGGGAGTTTCCATATGTAAAGTAAGGTTTGACTTTTGACAAAAGGCTTTTCCACATCCCTTGCATTTCTAAGGCTTCTCTCAACTGTGAATTTTTTGGTTCTGAGAGACAATAGGAATGACTAAAGGTTTTCCCACATGGCTTACATTGGTAACGCCTTTATCCACTGTGAATTTTTGTATGTTGACGTAGCTGTGATGAATGTCTAAAGGCTTTTCCATATTCCTCACATTTGTAAGGCCTCTCTCCACTGTCACTTAAGTAATAAGTGAGGTATGAGGAATTTTTAAAGTAATTCTGACATTCTTTAAATTCACAGTGACTCTCTCCACTGTGAGTTCTTCCATATTCAGAAAGCTAGTTCCAAGTTCAGAGGGCTGACGAAATGCTTACCCACGTTCCTTACATTCATAGAGGCTCTGTTTACTGTGACTTCTTCTATGTCTAGAGAGGCTTGAAGGCCAACCAAATGCTTTCCCGCATGCTTTACATCCATAGGGCCTCTCTCCACTGTGAATTATTTTATGTAAAGAGAGGTTTGATAGCTTACTAAATGCTTTCCCACATTCCTGACATTCATAGGGCCTCTCTCCACTGTGAATTCTTTGATGAACAGAGAGGACTGAGGGCTGACCAAATGTTTTCCCACATTCCTTACATCTGTAAGGTCTCTCTCCACTGTGAATTATTTTATGTGTAGAAAGGTGTGACAGCCGAATAAATGCTTTCCCACATTCCGTACATTTATAAGGCCTCTCTCCACTGTGAATTCTTTTATGTATAGAAAGGTATGACAGTTGTCTAAATGCTTTCCCACATTCCTTACATTCAAAGGGCCTGTCTCCACTGTGAATCATTTTATGTTTTGAGAGGTATGAGAGCCGACTAAAGGCTTTTCCACATTCCTTACATTCATAGGGCCTCTCTCCAGTATGGATTCTTTTATGTCTAGAGAGGTGTGACAGCCTACTAAATGCTTTAGTACAATCCTTACATTCATAGGGCTTCTCTCCACTGTGAATACTTTTATGTAAAGAAAGGAAAGAGGAACAACTAAATGCCTTCCCACATTCCTTACATTCATAGGAGCTCTCTGCACTGTGAATTCTTTTATGTCTATAGAAGGCTGAGGAAGAACTAAATTCTTTCCCACATTCCTTACAGTTATAGGGCCTCTCTCCACTGTGAATTCTTTTATGTCTGGAGAGGTATGAGAGCTGACTAAAGGCTTTCCCACATTCCTACATTCATAGGGCCTGTCTCCAGTGTGAATTCTTTTATGCCAAGAGAGGTGAGACACCTGACTAAATGTTTTAGTACATTCCTTACATTCATAGAGCTTCTCTCCACTGTGAATTCTTTTATGTAAAGAGAGGAGAGAACAACTACTAAATGCCTTCCCACATTCCTTACATTCATAGGGGCTCCCTGCACTGTGAATTCTTTTATGTCTATAGAAGTTTGAGGAAGAACTAAATGCTTTCCCACATTCCTTACATTCATAGGGCCTCTTGCCAGTGTGAATTCTTTTATGTCTGGGGAGATATGAAAGGTGATTAAATGCTTTCCCACATTCCTTACATTCATAGGGCCTCTCTCTTCTGTGAATTTTTTCATGTCTAGAGACATATGAGAGGTTACTAAATGCTTTCCCGCATTCCTTACATTTATAACCCTTATCTCTCTTGTGAAATTTTGGATGAAACATCTGGGATGATGGATGACTAATGATTTTGCAACATGCTTCACACTCATGCGTATAACCTCTCACATGTGTACAAAAGGACAAGGAACTACAAACATACTTCCCACATTTCTTACATTCATAGAGTTTCTCACCACTGGATTCTGCCACAGGAACCTTAAGGGTCGACATGCAAACGTCTTTCCTGCATACATTAAACTTGTGGGGCTTCACATCCTTAAGAGTTTTCACAGGAGTGGTTTGGTGCCAGGGACAACTGCAGGATGCACCACATTCCATACAGTGACAGATATTCCCTGTTGAGTGTGATCTGGTGTGACACACAGGTGATGACTCATCTATGAAGGCCATTCCCCACACACAGGATTGAAAAGGATTGACTTCCGGAGGGTTCCTCTGTACCACAGCAACATCGGAAACATGGCTGTAGGTTTTCTCACACTGACTGCCTTCATTAGTTTCATAGAGGATCTTTCCATTATGACTTCTGTTAAAGACAGGAAACATGCTGTTGGAAACAAATTTGTTCTCATTTCATCATCATCAAACATGATGAAAGTGCATGGATTTACCCTGATTTATCTCTTCTTTCATTGGTCAATTTTTCTGTGTGATATATTACTATCATGGTTACTATTTTTATAGAATAGTAGGCTTTCTGGTAATTGGGTCAAATTGAAGAACATGTAAAACATTCTGTATTTTACATTTATGAAAATATTGCATTATGAAAATTTTCTGAATCCTTAGTTTTCAGCTAGATTTATATATATAAACAAATATGTGTCTATATATATATATATATTTGTGTATGTACATATAGATATGTGTCTATATTGAAGGAAAAACTCAAAGCTGCACTGAAGGAATTGGAACTGATCAAATATCAATTAAGATCTTTCTGCAACGGGATGCCCCGCTGGAGGCCCTCTCTCATCTATGCCAAGAGACTTCAAAGATAGCTACCTGCCCCACTGACTGGAAGAGATCCATTTTGTACCCATTCCAAAGAAAGGTGATTCAACAGAATGTGCAGATTATCAAACAAAATCATTAATGTCACATGCAAGTAAAATCTTGCTGAAGGTAATTCAAAAATGGCTGCACGAGTACATTGACAAGGAACTTCTTGAAAGGCAAGATGGATTCAGAAGGGGATGCAGAGTGAGGAATATCATTGTTGATGTCAGATGGATCTTGGCTCACAACACAGAACACCAGAAAGATGTTTACTACTATTTTATTAACTACACATAGGCATTCAACTGTGTGGATCACAAGAAATTATGGATAACACTGAGAAGAGTGGCAATTCCAGAACACTTGATTGTACTCAAGAGGAACCTGTGCATGGACCAAGAGACAGCTGTTCGAATAGAACAAAGGGACACTGTTGTTGTTGTTGTTATGTGCCGTCGAGTCGGCCCCGACTCATAGCGACCCCTCCTTGGGTTTCCGAGGCAGTATCACTACGGAAGTAGGATTGCCCAACCTTCCTTCCGAGGAGTGGCTGGTGGGTTTGAACCGCCAGCCTTCTGGTTAGCAGTCAAGTGCTTTAGCCACTATGCTACCAGAGCTCCTAAAGGGACACTATATGGATTAAAATCAGGAAAGAGTGAGTCAGGGTGGAATCCTTTTCTCCTATTTATTCAATTTGCATGCAAAGCAAATAATGTGGACTATATAAAGAAGAATGTGGTACCAGGATTGGAGGAAGACTCATTAACAAACTACCACATGCAGATAACACAACTTGGCCTACTGAAAGTGACGATGAGTTGAAGCATTTACAGATAAAGATTTGACACTTCAGTCTGCATTATGGATTACAACTCAACATAAATAAAATCCTGACAATGGGACCAATAAGCAGCATCATGATACATTGATAAAACATTAAAACTGTGATGGATATTACCTGGGTCCACAATTAAAACCCATGGAAGCAGGGGTCAAGAAAACAGATGACGTATTGCCCTGGGTTATTCTGCTATACAAGACTACCTTAAGCTGGTGAAGGGCAAAGATGTCTCTTGATGAATAAGGTGACCCAAACCCAATCCACAGTATTTTCAATTATGTCATATGCATGTGAAAACTAGACAGGGAGTAAGGAAGAACAAAGAAGCATTGATGGTTTTCAGTTGTTGCACTGATGAAGAATACTCAAAGTACTGCAGACCGCCAGAAGAACAAACACAGCTGTCTGGCCAGGCCCATCCTCACAATCCTTCCTATACCTGAGTCCATCTTCAGGAGCATATTCCCATCTTTTGCTGACCCTCCAGTTTATCAGGCATAATACACTTCTCCAGGAAATGGTCCTTTCTGAAAATGTGACCTAAGTATGTGAGACGACATCTGGGAACTGTCGATTCCAAGGAGTACTGTATTTGCACGTCGTCCGGGACATGGTTTGTGTTACTGTAAGCTCATGATTTTTTCAGCATTGTCCACCAACACTATAATTGAAAAGCATCAACTCTTCAATTACAGCTTTCATATGCATAGAAGGCAATTAAAAACACCACGGCTTGGGTTAGGTGTACCTTACTCTTCAAGGTGACATCTTTGCGATTCCACACTCAAAGAGCTCTTTTATGTCATATTCAGCCAGTGCAACACATCATGGGATTTCTTACTGCTGCTTCCATGCAGTTGACTGTGGAACCAACATGAAATATTTGACAGCTTCAATGCTGTTTCCATGTATCATAATGCTACTTATTCCTCCAGTTCTGAGGATTTTTGTTTTATGTTGAGGTATAATCCATACTGCAGACAGCAGTCCTTCATCTTCATCAGTAAGTGCATCAAATCATCTTCATTTTCTTCAAGGAAGGTTGTATGTAATGAGTCTTCCTCCAATCCTGATGTCAGGTTTTACTTCACACAGTCCAGCTTTTCACATGATTTGCTCAATACACAGATTGAATGCATATGCTCAAAGGATACAACTGTGATACAGACCCTTCCTGATTGCAAACCATTAGTACCCCATTGTTATGATTGAATGGCTGGCCCCTGGTCTAAGGAGAGGTTCCTCATGAGCACAATTAAGGGTTCAGGAATTCCCATTCTTCTCAATGTTACCTATAAATTTTTAGGATCTAGACAGTCAAATTCTTTAGCGTAATGAAATTAAAAAAAAAAAAAAAAAAACAGAAAAAATCCTTGCGGTATTCTTTGCTTTCAGCCAACATCCATCTGACATCAGCAATGATATCTGTCATTTCACACGCTCTTCTGAATCCAGCTTGCATTTCTGCATGTTCCCCATCTATATGCTGCTATAACTGTTTCTTAATTATGTACAGGCAAATTTTACTTGTGTGTGTGATACTAATGATACTGGTTGATAATTTCTAGTCCCTTGGATCACTTTTCTCTGGAATGGATACAAATATGGATAGCTTCAAGTTGGTAGTTCAGGTAGCTCTCTTCCACATTACTTGCCACATAAGACTAAATACCTCCAGAGCAAAGTCTCCCCATTGAAACACTCCAAAGGGTAATCCATCAATTCTTGTAGCCTTGTATTTCTCCAAATACTTCACTTCAGATTTGACTTGTTTTTTGAATACCAGTGCCTCTTGATCCTATGCCACCTCCTGATAGATGATGGTTCACCACCAAACAAAACAGGGACTCTGTATATTCCTTCCATGTTCTTTTGATGCTTCCTTCCTCATTCAATATTTTGCCCATAGAATGCTTGAACACTGGAACTCCAGGCTTGAATCATGTCATCAGTCTTTGAGATTGAGAAATGCCAAGCCAGTCTTTATGCATTTCATTACAATAAGTGACTCAGTTTTGTTGAGCTGCTCTTTGAAACATTCTCTTCGGGACTCTTATCTTGTCATTTCTTTCGTTTGTTGAAGCCACTCTCTGTTCATGAGCAATTTTCAGTCTCATGATATCCACTTTGTACTTTCCTGCCTTTTTAATTACTTTTTTCTTTCTTTCTAACTGGTTTTCTTGATGTCTACCAATAAGTCAACTGGTTTTTGGTCATTCGTGTTCAATGTGTTAAATCGCTTCTTCAGAAGGTCTCTAAATTCAGATGGGATACAATCGGGGTCATATTTGGGTTCCTGTGGTCTAGTTTGAATTTT